CTAACTATGTATATATACTTGTGTTACGTAATAGTTAGTCACGTGGAATATGTTACATATCCATTACAGCACTCATGCCTCGGATTTCATTTGCAAGTACCACTGCAAAGTTATGGTGGCTTTTTCTTCACCCCAAGTCAAACCTCATCCGTGAATACCCACCCAGGGGAACGTCTCAAAAACCCTGAGTTATCCAGACATGCCTCCGTCATCCATCAACTTTTCTCTGCGCGAAATGTGATCTGAGGTGTCTCGTTCCCAAGTGGAGTAGGTGCCCAGGCTACTAAAACTATACTAGAGAACACCACCAGGAGGCGGATTACAACACCTTCTTTTGTCGGCTTGTTTTTATAGTGTCAGCTGCACTCTTGCAAGCGAAGTCTTGGCGTGCACAAAGCTCAATTCGTAAAACTCTTGCCAAAATTCAAAATCACTCGCCCGTCGAGAATGTATCCCTCTTCTGCATCATCTTGTAAACTTGTCCTGATCCCTCTCACGTCCATCCCAAAGAGCTATCTCCCAGATTTGTGCTCCACACTTTGCTTCCTCTGTCGGGTATAAATATCGGCGTGGGCGTGTATTTGGTGACTGGCTGAGGCCAGAGAAATTCGACAAGAGGTGTGATCATTGAAACGAGGATGTACTAGGTCGTACTTGTAGACTTGATGAAGCTTAATTGAGAATCGGACTCTTTGGGAGTGAAATATTGACATGGTGGAGTAATTTGAATTTTTGTCTTGTGGGCCAACTTCTTTGATATTGCGAAATTTGACTGAACTTGGCTCTGGGAGAATATTTAACTCCCAGGTTCGTAGAGGACACCGCGTACAGGTGTTCAGTCTTACCCTCCTGAGGGATGTTGCCAATATAAAGATATGTTGATCAGTTGAGCACCTCGCTCTACATCTCCAAGGCACTCATGGGAGTTCTTAAAAGAGGTGCTGAGACAGAGAATTGTTATGCTCAGCTATGTAGTATGGTAGATCAAGTAGCTGGTGCATAGGTAGTTATTATGGCAGCATGGCATCATGGCACATGAAGGAGATCCAGTCTCTACATAACGACATTACAAGTAGGAATGTGTGCAGTATGAGAGATGGGTTGTTGATATAGGATAAATGGCATGGCTGCTCAGTCGGTTGCACACTTTGGTGAGCTGCATACTGGTAACGTGATTGGTCTACAGGGAAACAAGCTAGGGGATAAGGGACGAGCTTCCCCCAATCTGTAACAAAATAATTATCATAGTCACTTCACTTCTGCACATTAATGAAGACATCTCTCCACATACTGTCTTAGCTGTTCCAGCGCAAGTGTACATTCCCATCTCATATACCAAGTAAAACAAGAATGCTAGTACTCGTGTAGATCGATGGGGACGGCAACTCTCCCTAGCTATCCTAGATGTGCGCACATACTGGATAAGTGTTAGAGTATAGAGAAGACTTCGGAGTAAGAATTGCCTGAGAACGGAGAAGTTCAGTTTCCTTAATTGACTAATAGACTACAGGTATCATGATATATTGTTGTGAATACCTCGGGTCAGCTCCGATCAAGCCTCATCGGGCTCCCACCATTGCGGCACTCGGACACTCGGCCGCAATAAGCTAGATGAGATTAGGGCACTGATAGCACAGCTAAGTACCTAATCACTCTGGCAACATCTCTACATCCGAGCATTGCCTGGTGGACCAATGCGTTTAGATTGAGGTACACATCACTCTGATGGCTACCGAGGGGCAACAGCATACAATGTGACAATGGTATGTAGCTCTGTAGTCCCAGAAGTTCCATACTAGCAACCAGTATCAATGGTATGTTATGTCAGGAGGTATTGGTAGTGGCTATGGAAGTGGTTACTGTGAAAGGAGTAGGAAGCACCTGTGATGAGTGCGTGATCAGGACTGGGGTACTGAATGTATATATAAGGAAGCAATACTTCTGCGGATATTAAGAGAATCAACCATCTCACAACTGTCCATTCCAACGCATCTTCTCACTACAGCCACATCAATTATATCCGGGCATCCATTTCAGGTATTCCTCTGTCCCCTCATGACCTCGTTATCATAACATATATACAGTGGAATTACAAGGAAGAAAATTTATCCGGAACCGACTCGACTGCAGAAATGGGTAAGATCCCAGACCAGAAAAGTATTATCCACTGACTCAGAATACTGGGTCATGCAATAGAAAATACGAACAAACCAATGACTGGATTTGTTGGGGAAGAATGGGATTCAAGCAGACTCAAACGTCGATTCCAATTGGATCAGAAGTATGGGCTCCTGCCTGAACTCAGAAATAAAGTTTAGGCAAGATGCATGCAACCACATTGGTTAATAGAAAGAAAAGCAGGAAACTGTATTTCCAACAATAAGTAAGGTGGCTGTTGAAGGCTGAAGTCTTGTATGTGGATCTGGAACTACCCGGCTCCGCCTATGAACAAAAGCGCACTAGTGTGACGGGAAAACGCGCTCGATTGGAACAAAACATCTGGCGCGCGCGTCGTACATTTTCTCCACCACTGATAAAATATAAATTCATTTATGGACCCATAATTGTGAACAACAACTGTCACGGACGAGGTCGAAGACGAGGAGAAGACGAAGACAGAAGCTGATAATGAGGACGAGATAGTTAGATTAATAATTAGATTCTAAAACATGAGTAATTTACAAGACAAAAAGCTACAGTACACATCCAGTCCTAGAGCTTCCTTAAGTACACGAGCTTCAATACTATAACCAAGGGTGTAGTAGTCCACAGCCATAACACAGTAACTAACTAGTACTCTGAATGGCAACTGTTGCCATCACAACACTGTAACCATTACAATACCCTAATTATGTTATTGTATGCACGTCATAACTCGGTTGCCTGGGTGCGACACGACATCCCAGAGATGGTTTGTGACAACAACTGTGAAGTCCCTTCTCAGTGGCAGAGCCTAGTGCTCGGGGATACCCGCTCAGAATGTTAATCTCTACCTTTGCGTGATGCTTTCGACTTGGAATTAACATTCCTGTTTGTCTCTGGCTTTGAAGCCAGTCATGTTGGTAGCAATAGACGACTACGGTCCGTCTGCCCGTATCACACTAGGGATGTCAAAATCTAATTGTGGTTTTTACCATGGAAATAATGTACCTTCGGGGAGGACTATTCTCAGCACCTGTCAGTGGTGTCCCCTACAAACCTCCAGCTTTCACCGTAGAGTCTGCAGAGCCGAGATTGAGTAACAAAGTCCTAACTTCCATGGGGATTCCCAGTCGCTTTCGCCTTCTGTATCGTCTTCGTCTCTCAACACCGCCCTCTATCACCATTATCATGAAGTTATCCATGACCAGATCAGATTTTGGGGCCGAGGTCCTTGTCAACCACCCTTGATCACGGAGAAAGAGCTATCCAATGAGTCCCCGGAGCCTACCCAGCACCCGATACGGTGATGATGGATTAGATCAAGTCGGCCGTCTCAGAATCAAGGGAGGTGTTGAGGTTTCTGGGCGCGCGTTGTGTACCTGGTAAATGGTGGGTGTGTTTGTGTAAGAATGAAATGTTATCACGTGCTGTATTGTAGCTCCTAACTACAATGGATCTAGTGTAGAGCTTGAGACTAATACGTTAATTCTATATCCCCTAAATGTAGGATATCTATGCGCCTATATACATCAATACTCTGTTACCCCTTAGCTTCAGTGAGGTCTGCTCTTGTGACTGTGCGATCTGATTGTGTGAGATTATAAGGCACTAGCATTTTGTCTATGTGCCTTACATCCAAAATCTGATCAGCCCGTGACAATGTAGATCTTTTCAGGATCCACAGTGTGGCCGGGGCTGCGGGTATTTGGGGACTTTTTTACGCGCACACAGTTTCCACTGCTACGATTTTTTATTTTTTTTGGGTAGAAAGTTCCGTGTAAAAGGTAGCCGAATTCGACGGGTAAGCACTGAGCTGAATGGCTATTCCTCACGGACAATATATCAGTGATATTTGAAGGAATAAAAGAGGCAAGGAGCACTGTACTTGGTGTGGCCTGGGCCAGAGAGGATACCATTGTGATAGATAGTCATAAATTCAAACAGTACAATAAACATACTTGTCTCTCCCCCTACGACATAAGTGGAGGCTGGTACATCGTCTTGGCCGGTCTGTCAAGTAAGGTCTGGATAACTAGGACACATATCCCACTCGAGACAGTAGATCGCTGGTTCAAATCCGGCAAAACACAACCACTCTTCTCGCGGCGCTGGTATGCATGGATGACAAAGGCATGCTTGGATAACTAAAAGTTTCGAAAGTCCCTCTGGTGGGTACTTACAGATGAGGGTCGACTGTTTGTGTAAGCGAACATACCTCATAGTGGTATTTGCGAATGAAATCCAGAGTCTGAGTGTCTCTAACGTCAAAAGAGTCATCCCACATGTATACATAGCACCGGTCATGGGTTATAGCTAGATAGCTGAATACACATTAAATGATTTTTAAAAAAAAAGAGTTAAGCATCGGATTCTGGTTACGTGCCGATGAGTAAAGTGGCCGAATGGATCTAAACTTGGACGAATTTTCTTCTCGTGGTGATTTCAAGGCCTTTCTAGCCCAACGCGCTAAATAATCATTGGCTCAAGCAGCACAATAAGCTCACAATCACATACACACGTACAGGGCATTTCTTTTGTGTTTGGCAAGCTTGGCGGCTCTGGTACAGGACGAAAAGGCCTGGTAGCCTTTACCTAGTTCGGTGTATTCTAGTGCGGACGGACTTCAGCTCTCATTCTTTCAAACTCCCTTGCATTCAGCTATGGAGCTGAGACAATTCTGTCCGGCCTTCTTTCCATGTGGTTAGACCACAAGTAGCCCCATATGAAAATTATTCTGAATCAGGCCGGTACCTCTCGAGCTCCAATTTCGCGTGCGATCGGGAGACTTTCACACGTCCAGCAGGTAATATGCAAATTGAAAAGTATACATTACTATTCTTGGCACGCTGATAATTGCTTCATTTAATGTTACAAAGTGCAAAAGTTACTGTATCTTTCACCGAACCCTGCGCCTCAAAGCTACGAGTTACCTTCCTCAACACCACGGCACACTGACGATCGTTTTGGTCGACTACGTTTATATAGTCTGTGTCAGTAGCTTGAGCTCCTGTTCTACTTTCTAGTACAGAATGTTAGCTCTAATTTACGGAAGTGAAAATGCCGTAATGCTTACGATGCGAGATATGATTTAATTCTTGAAAGCTTTTATTTGTAGAAAAGTTATCTGAATACATCACTGTCCTTTGATCGTTCGGCTTCTGCAATAATTCATTGAATTTTTCATCAGTAAGTGGGTAAAATTCACGGAATTTTCTGTGCGATGGAGACACGGGATGTATTGTCTGAATCCCATACACCCTAAGTAGGTCGAGGTTGCAATCAAAGGCTTTCGTGTCCTCGTCTATGTGCTTCGTGGTCTTGACAGCAAGAATTGTCACAAAGAAACTGGCGCTCTGAAGGATTGTGGCTATGCTAGTAAGGCGCATGATTAATGATGGATTAGACTCGGTGAAAACTGTCGGATAATGGAAGTTGTAGTTACGTCTTGCCGGACGACGACCAGTCTAGATGCTTATATTTCTTGCTCTGCAGCATATTTGCTGTACTGCTTTGCAATTAGTCCAGGCAATTATAAGAAGGTAATGCGTATTTAACTTTTTATGAACCCACTACACTAATTCCATGGAGAAGCCTTGGCTCGAGCCGAAATGCGTCAAAAATGAGTTCAAGTTCCCTTCATTCGCATCCATTCTCTTTCGTAGGACGAGTCGATCCAGATTAGATACTCTTGCTGATCCCACCACGCCTCCCACCCATGTCTCATCCTCTATTCTCTGTAATTCGCGACCATCTTCTCGTTTCTAGTGCCGGCACAATCCCAATGGCTCATTTGCTTAAATCACGAGTGATCCATTTCCGCGTCGCAAGGATGGCTTCAATGACTCGTCGTTGGTTGTCACGATGCTTGTTCGCTGTGACGTCAATTTTCTGTTGAGCGTCGGCAGGCGTCGCCGACGAAGGCAATCGATTCAATTTCAAGAGGTACAAGTGCACAGTCTTTGTAAAGATTCGAGGTTGACAGGGAGAATCGATTACAGATCGGATTCGAACCAAACTGTGACATGACTACAATCTGCCAATTCGCATTAACGTCGGCCGCATGATTCCGTGAAAGATCAATGCACGCAAGAAACACTTTCATTCTTCCATGGGATTGACGTCTACGACGAGCGAGGAAAAGGCTCGAGGCCTGTCCGCGCTGTGCCCCACAAACCTGGGAGTGATACATTTTCCCAGGGTCAAGTTCTGACAATTTTCGCAATTCCGAAGAGGTTGGCCCACGAGCCAATCATTAAATACTACAAACCAGATCAAATTTTAACCACAAAAAGATCGTTTTCCTCCAAGCCCTCAACAAGTCTCCAAGTACGGCCTAGTATATCTTCGTTCTCATGACTTAGCCTCTCGCCGAACTAGTCCATGGCATCAAATGGCCTCTAAGTATACGCCCACGACAATATTTACACTCGCCACAGTAAACAAAGCGTGACGCACAAACCTGGTAGGCGGATATTCGGAATGTACGTGAATAATATTAGCATAGACAAGCATGGCGGTGCAAAGTGTGGATACAATCTAGGAAGGACCGATATTTCGATTTCTGCACAATAGTTTTTCAAATTGAGCAATATGCGCTACACTGCCTTGATTGCGAGAGTGCAAGCGACACTCTAAACACCGCCGCGGTTGCATGGTGTCGTGGTACATCGTCTTGGCCAGCCTTCCACGCAGAGTCTATGCAGCTTGTACACAAATCCTGTTGGAGACAGGAGATTACTGGTTCGAATCCGGCAAAACGTGTGGGAAATTCCAACTCTCGAATCTAGATTTCACCCAATATCTGTTTCGTCTGAGGTTCCCGATAAGACTGTCTCTCTTTACACACGTCTCGAGTGCGCTAATTGTGCCTACTGTCGCCTATACGTTTGAATACTTAGGCACTACAGTGCAGATTGGCTCATCATGGTAGATGAGAGGCGGCTGGTCATCACTAGATTTGACAGGCACATGAGACTAGCGGGAATTTCTCCCCCAGATGTATTAGTCCAATGTTCTTATAGTTGAAAAATATTAAATCTTCTTTACTTCACATATTGTCGCCGGATCAATTGGTGTTGGTATACAGCAGAGCAAGTCCAGAATAAAACGGTTAATGAAATCTATGGAAAGAAGATTTCCTACTTCTCGCTGTATACATATGGAATTATAATGTCAGCGCCGATGATAACAATCTATGTTGCTAAGCAACTATATCCAGACCGCAACATTGGTAGCCCCCGTAGCTGGCCAGGCACTATATCCCATCCCTACCGCACTGGCGCAGACAGTACAAACACAAGGGATTAAACCCGTAACACATATATCCATGTGATATCGTACAGAGTATATTTTCCAACAAAACACAACCACATTTCTCGCAGTGCAGGCTTACATGGTTGACCAGGGCATGCTTGGATATGTTGCAACGAAGGCAGCGATATGACGGCAGTAGACAAATAGCACATTTTAGAATAATATGCACTGGTACCCTAAGATATGATTAACCCATATCATCCGTCATTGGCATGAATAGTAATTAGCCAAAATATGGCTCTAGGATCTCCGACAACCTTCCCATTTAGGTAGATGAGGAAGTCTATTGGAGTTCACACTAGTGTGCGGAAAAGCCCACTTTTAGGTATGTTATTATTAATTCATTTTATTGTCCTGTCTGAGTCTATGACTATGTAGGACATGCAGGTCCTCTCTGCCTACAGGCCAAGGATACCTATACCAGTAGTATATCCCCTCCTATGCCTCCCATACAGCTCCCCTCAAACAGTACCACCCCTCACAAGTCCTCATTCGATCATACACTAAGAGGAGCCCTTTGCCCTTCATTATCTCCCCTCTCCAGCCAACGAAACGATGGCCATTTGCGGGTGTATGGCAGCCGGGAAAATTCGCAAAAACCACTGGGTGCGGGGCTCTTCTAATACCGACATTAGGAATAAATCCGAAGACATATTGCCCCTTCTGAAGCGTTCGAAGAGGCCGGCCAGCTGGGCGCTGCAGACTTGTGTGTACCTCGGGAAATTCACCCTCTGCCTTTCTAGCCTCCTTCCAACTCCTTCCCGAAGGTCGTGCTGAAATGTCAGAAAAGTCTTGACAGAGCGTGATTGCTGTATAGTAGCTTAGCCTAACTTCTTTTGTACCGTCCAGGGCGCTGGGGAGTGCCGTTGACTCATCGACAAAAGAAGCCCTCCTGGCTAATTAGCCGAAATCTTGGTCTTGGCGCCCACAAAAAATCCAAAGTTGGAAACTCCTCGAATATATCAGTCCCAACACAGTCTTCAGTGTCTTCTTTCTCCTCTCGCTCCACATCTCAGCTGCCTGTTCTTCCTCAAGATGTATAACCCCATTAGAGCAGCAGTCCCCCATAAACCAAGACCCCAACTTTGTATTTTTCGACTTGATTTCCTCCTTGCGGGTATAAATAGCGTCGTAAATATGTAGAGAGTGATGGCCGGTAATGAATGAGGCAAGCTCCTGTTTGCAGTTAGGGTGACGTCTCTATCGGTCGGCGAGGCGAGTTGATATGTGCTTAGATCGGGGTTGAGGACTCAGAAGATAATGATGAGTGCTGCATGGTTGAGAAGTCGTCAAATGGAGATATACATGTGTTTGCTTTCGACTTCGATTCGGATGCGATTCTTCTTGGCTATCCCAGATATGCAGAGCATACTGAGCGATTACACCGGCACCACTGGAAGGTGAAGAATTCGTCTTTGCCGGCACTTTTAGGTATGTAGAGGGGCTACTCGCCACACACATAGAACTACAGCCCGGTCCGGGGCCCACAGCAGGACGGAGAGCTTTTACTGTAGCTCAGGACTTGAAAAAATTCAACATGTAATTACAGCAGTTTAATGACCATTGACTATCCATTAGAATTCTTCGTACAGTAAACACATTCATCATATCTCCAAATCAACCTCAAGGCTAGTGTGAAATCTTCCAATCTCTGGAACTATTTCAAGTGGATAATCGAAGCTTTTGAATTTTTCTTGGTGTGTAGTTACGGGGGAGGGTCGACTGTTTGTTTGAGCAAACATACCTCAAAATGGTATTTGCGATTGAAATCCAGACTATGAGTGTGCATGACAGCAAATGACTGATGCAACATGCATACATAGCACTGATCATGGGCCTGATGGTTAAGTGGTAGGGTTCTTGCTTTTGGACAACAATGTAATAGACCTCCGCTTCGATCCCTCAATAAGCCCTGCGGTCCTGTTGACAGGGCAGTTAGGACAGTGGTAATATCGCTCGTTTTGCTTGCTGGCGGTCGGTGGTTCAATCCCCACATTGTATACAATGGTGATGTGGACGATGAAGACGTTCCGTGGTGACGCTAAATTTTAGACCAAATAATATCCCTTTTAGGCCAGTTGGCGCGATGGTAAAGCTATAAGTTTCATGGCTAGATAGCTGAATACACAGATTAACCATAGAAGGCAAAGAGCATTTGTATGGATGATGGCATTTAACAATTCAAAGATGGAGAGCCAAGTTCTGCTTGCTAAGTCAGGTACATATGCAGATTCATGACATTCCAAGTTCTTTCCTTGCTCAGTATCCACAAGAAAACAACTTAAAGTTATCATGGTTATATAAATCAAATATACTTCGTTTCTCATTTACATTCTAAAAGTCCGCCATAATTATCCTCTTAGATATGTGATGGCTGGTTCCTGTAGCCTATGTTGGCTAACACAGGCTTGGTCCAATCTAGGGTGCGCACAACCGATCGATCTAATATATGAGCATCGGAATCTGTATAGCATCCGATTCAACAGTGCAGCTCAACATAGCACCACTTGTCGGTGAGAAGCTATCGGCTGGGAATATACAAGATCGGTCACAACCTCCTCAATTGATAGTGCAATGACGTCGTAGAACATGAGGCTATTTTGTATATGTACTTGTGTAGATAGATCCTGTAGTAGTTCTCTCCTTACAATTATTATCTACTACCATCAACCACATGGCTGCTCCAGCACCTGTCCTAGAATCCGTGACAAGATAGGACTACAATAAAATCTAATTCAAGCTCTTCCCTCTAAGCTCAGCTTACTTCTAGATGATTACAGTGGCTACTTCAAGGGTTTCGTTTCCAGAAGCTTCTCCGAGCTTCAGTATCACTCTTATAGGAACGCTCCTAGTTCCTTTTGGTTATGAGGGGAGGGATTGCATATAAACAGTAGCTTTATCATGCATGTGCTTGACACTATTATGGAGTAGACGATGATGTGTGTATGCTTTATTAGACTCGTTTGCCGATTATTGCTATCTTCACGAAGAAGCATACTCCTATTTACATCTATATCTCACCTGTCTACTTTTTGGTAGAATATTCCATCATTTGCTATAGAATGGTCTGTAT